ATAACCAGATAATCAGTGTTATTGCTAATCGGTGTAATGGATTTTTAAGGAAAACTCATCATGATCACCCAACAAACCATAGAAGTTCTGCTCATGTTTAGTCCGTTTAAGAAGTTTTGTCATTGCTACAGCCAAGGACAGTACAGGCAATATTGAAAAAACTGCCAAAGCCAGAAGAAGACTCATATCTGTGGTGCCATCTGGTAAACACAGAGCTTTTCCAGATATAGGAAATGAACTGTGGATTGTGCAAGATGGTCAAGCCGACTGGAAGGCTTCCACGGAGGAATGTCTTGGGATAAGTATATTTGGTGGCTCAGATCGGTCTGTCTGTGATTTTTAAATCTGAAATAAGTTGTAGCACAGATACTTTGTTTGCTGTTGCTGTAATGTAAATACATAAAATATGCCATGCAAGTAGTGACAAAATGTTTATTATACAGTTTCATAGATTTGTTCATCACTTTAACAATGTCCCGTAGGCTACTCTTCCCACAGTGCACCGTTCATTACTGGAAAATGTTCAAATAATTGTAAAAAAGAAAAAAGAAAGGATACAGTTCAAAAATCATGTTTCCTTCACAATCAAAATTGCATAGATTCATTCAAGCAAAACCCCCTTTAACATTTCGTTTCTATCATTACATGATTAATCAGACCTGCTCTTCACTACACTTTGGAATTTGCAGTTTCACAAAGGTTCAGGGATCAGGTTTGAAGTGATCATCTATACAAAGTGATAAAGACACAGCAGTCAAAAGAAAAAAAGGAAAACAAGGGGAGTGAGAGTTTGTGAAGTGATGTAGTGTGACCGTGTACTACTACTGCTGCCGACCACATCCTCACACTCAGATCGCAGGACACAACCAGGACTCACTCTCACTGTCCCTGATCCTGACGTTCCTTCAGAGCCAGTATGGCTTTTCGGTAAAGATCTATCGAGAGACAGGGTCACCTTTTTAAAATTAAAGCCGTGATTTCATCTTTTTTTCAGAGTCCAAAGTGTTACTGTATTTGATTTGGAGATGGAAGAAGTGGATGAGGCTCACCAAAGGTTGCAGACAGGTCCACAGGTTGAGAGTAAGCTGCAGGCATCTCCTCTGTGTTGATCTTGTTCTTTCTTTTGACTGTGACAACTTTCTTCTTCTTCCTCTTTTCTTCGCCTTTAGCTATACAGAAGGTAAAGGAAATATTAGATTTAAATTCTTAAAGAGATAATAACCAAAAATATAGGCCATTAAGATATTAACCTTTGAGCGCCTTCTCATCGTTGTCAGGTGATTCTAGGGTTTCCAGAGTCTCTTCTTTCGCCTTTATTTTGCGTTTCGGTTTGCCCTTTTTCGGGGGGATCAGGGCACTGCTGGCTTTCTCTCTGTGAGCAGAGTTTTCTTGCTCTCCTTCATTAACGTCACCCTCCTCTTCCTCCTCCTCATTGTTTGCTTCTTCTTGATCCCTTTTCCCTTCCTTGACCTTAACCGGCGTCTTCTTCTTCTTGCTTGTCCTCAGGTTCTTCTTAAGAGTGGTTTCCTGTGAATGAAAGACGTATTAAAGACGTTTAATTCACCATTTATTTATTGTAACATTCATTTTATATCACAATTACGACAACTTATATAAGGTAATGAAGAACACAAACATAACTAGTGGCACAACTGTTGGAAGCAGGTTCAGATACAGAAATGGTTAGGGTAAGAGGTGAGTGAGTGAGTGAGTTTTTTATGCCAAATTTCTTTGGTTTCAGCTTCTCAAATTTTTTTGGGGGTTTTGTTGGAGTCCTTAGACAATCCAATACAACGCTCTACCTAGAATTGTACATTTAGGAAGGTTATAATGTTCAGTTATTGTTGACTTTGTTATAGAGGTGTTAATTCTACTGTGTTTATTACTGAGGACGTCGTTACTGATGGTGGTATACTGGACTGCATCATATTCAAATTCTGCCTCCCTCATGTTTGTAAATGGATTTGATTAGATTAGAAACACCACCGCAAACTACAACCTCAATAATAAACATATAGTTAATTTAATACCTCTCTGATGGTGGAAATCAACACATTATTATCTTTGTAAAGGTAGAATTTATGGCTGAGTCACTGTACTGGATTGCATTATTGAATTATTTACAGGTGTATCTAAAAGTGGCCACTGAGTGTAGTTGTTAAAAAAAGGATGCCAAATATTTTCCTAACCTTTTGCAACATGTTTCGAATGGGTTGCAACTTTCCTTCTCCCTTGGCCTTTTTCTCCTTGTCTTTTGGCCGATGAACTTGACGCAGATCTGACTTGCTGGATCGCATTCTGAGGTGAGAAAACATTTAACATAAAAGGTCAAAGTGTAGCTCAGATTAAGTAATATATCATGCTTAGGTTTATGTTTGTCTGTACTATACGTTAAGGCCTCTTTACCTTTCCCCTTTTTTTCTGCGAACTTTCTCTGTTTTCCAGTTCTTTTCCCTCTCTCTTGGTTCCAGAGGCCTCTTGCTGTCCTGGGCTACACGAGTACATAGCTCGGGGTAATCCAGACAAACAGCTCGCAGCAACCAGCGAAGGCCTCGTAGAGTCTTCCTGTCCGACCAGCGTCGCAGGTCCATTAAGGCTGAACAAGGCTCCTGAGAGGGAAAGGGAAAAAGGTCTGTTTCTGCCTACCTGCATCTGTATGATTCTGTGCTTGTCTGGTCAGTTTCAGTATCTACAAGAGATTTGTGTTTGTTCAGCTCTTACAATATGGCAAAGAGAGCGGCTCTGGTTGACCAGCTTCTCCAGTAATAGAATCTCAATCAGCTCACTTCCCAGCAGAGCGTTCATTTTGTCCTGCTTGTTAGCCAACCTAAAAAGAAACGGTTTCAGCACAGGCCCAAATTAACCCAATTATTTCAGTATTTCCCTTCAACAGCCACCAGAGGGTACCGTTTACTCATCCCCATTGCACATAATGCAGCTTACACTTTTAATGTATGTATGAAGTTGAATATAATTACACTAATATGGGTTTTCCTGCCACTCTTGGGTGCTTCAACAGGTCAGCAAGAACTTCCTTGACCTCCTTGATCCTCTGTCTGTCACTGGAGTCCACCACGAAGATGATCCCATGGGCCTCTCCGTAGAGCTCCCTCCAGGCTCCCCTCGACTCCGCAGATCCTCCCACATCCAGCAAGGTGACCAGGTAATTCTCCACTCTCAGCTCATTTCGGATGCAGCCCTGGGTGGGTCCTGCTTCCACGCCATGGGGGACTAATGGGGGACAGGAAGTAAAACACAGGGAGATCATTTGTTATGTTTCTTTTTTGAGCACTTTAAATAATAAATCAGCTTAAAGCCACTGTTGATTTACCTCTTAGCATCCCTCTGATGGAGGATGTTTTTCCTGCTTTGTCAAGACCAACCACAAGAACAGTCATTTTCCTGCAAAGAAGTATGCACAGTATAGAATTTCATTTTAAGGAGCTCATATTTTTAGACAGAAACCAGGAAACCAGGTGGGATCAATGAACTGTACATGGCATGCAAATTCATATTATACAAAACTACCAATGGAAAATGAAAGATGTCATTGTGATTTGTTTCTTTCTGTACAGAATGCTCACTCACTTTGGTTTTTATTGTAGGTTCACTAATTTACAGACCTGTTCCTATGAGCAGATAAATGTCTGCACCCAACAACACTAGGATTTATTTGGTCCAATATGGTGAATCTAAAATGTTTAATGTGGTTGCTGTTGTTTGTGATTAGGCTGACATTTTTATACATTTCTTTTTCTTTTCATTTGTACCTGATTGGCTCCTGTATTTTGGAGACCCAGGTCCAGCAGTTGCTCATCAGGTTGAACATGTTTACTTGAGGTGAGAAAGGTGTGCACAGTGGCCACCATCTTCTCTGGAACTGGTACCTGCGAACAGATGGTCAACCTTAGTATGAGTCATACATACACACAAAAATAGGACCAGTCGGTTGAGTCACTGCGGGTCATGGCCAGGGCCAACATAAAGATGCTTTGTGTCTTCTGTGGGTGTAGGAGACATTTCAGATGGTCAGGTATCAGGTCAATGCTTTGGCTGCCAAGTGTTGATCTCTTATTCCCAGAATATAAAATTATCTGTAATCTAGTCCTCTTCAGCTCATATTAATTTAAAATATTTTCTTCTTTCGTTTCTTGGATCAATAATCAATCAGAACCAAATAACATAAAGTATTTATCTGCAGTCAATCTAACTAGAAACATGAATATTTTCTAATCTCAATATTATCCCCTATGGTATAAATGATGTGTGAGTAAAATCTTTCTGCCATGTCTAGAGAGAGAGAGAGAGAGAGTAGTCTGCTTGAGTCTTGTAATACACATGAAGCAGGTGTGTCTGAGTCCATGTGCTAAAAAAACACAAGCAGATCTTCCAGTCCTTTGTCCAGTGCATCTGTTCAGGCTCCATAATCTGCTAAAGCCAGTTTAGAATGGGCTGCTTGTACAGTGTTGTTAACAAGCTGACCCATATTTGTTTTGGCTGTAGGAGACAGTGAGGTGATCATCATTTCCAGTACGGTATAAGCTTTCCACGCTTGAAAACAGTATTTTGCACAAGCATCTGACAGTGCAGCATTTTAAACATTTAGAGGAAGTTAGTATAACAGTGTCGATATTAGCTAGTTAACAATGTTTTTAAATTACAAAGACATCAATTATTTACAGTACTGAACACACAAATATGAATGTAAAATATTTATGTGTTTGCTCCAGATGGAGATAAAAAAAAGAACATTAAATGTATACTCAAATATATATATATATATATGTTATTATGGATTTTAGCTAAGTAACTATATTACTGATTATTCTAATATTTATTATTGGTGTGTTGTTTTTATTTTATGGTGCCTTTTTAACATCTGAGCAGGGACAACAGATGAAAATTTAATTAAAAAAACAAACATTTATAGTTGAGCACTGTTCCTGCCAAATAAAATAAAATAAAATAAAAATATATATATTGTGCAAAACAAAACATAAATTTAAGTTTTATAATTTTAAACATTTTGTTGGTTTTGACAAATACTGGATTATTACTGGTTACTGATATAATTTTGTTCTAATTGAATGTTTAAAAAAGGCTAAAGAAAACACAAACAATGCATAACAGTGCACATGGGTGGTAAAATGCAGAGAATCCGTGGATTAAAACAAAGCATTTCAAACTGTAAGTGGACACTAAACTGCTAGTAAATACCACTGAATGACTAAATCACAGGTAATAGGAGTGAAATTTGCAGAGTTTAAGAGAAATTGAAAGAATACTTACAGAAGCAAGTCTATGTCCATGCATTTGTTTGGGTGCTCGTCTCTACTAACATTTTGCACTCAACAGCTACAAAACTAATCAGGCTCACACTAAGCCTTTGGTCACCCCATGTGGGAGGAACAACCTGTATAATGTTGTATGGGTATTTCAACCAATCCCTGAGTCCTCTGAGCCAATTACTAGGCCCATTGGATGGCGTGGTTCTTCTTTAACTACAACAAACAAACTAGATATCCTTCCAGGAGGACTAAATGTGTCTCATGGTGTGATCTGTGACCTGCTGTGATCTTTTTCTGTTGAAGTCTGAAAGTGGTGGCATGCAGAGCGTTTGAACAGAATTAGTCAATTACATCATAACAGTGATGACCAGGTGGTGTCACAATACAATGTATGTGCAACAAGTTTACAGGTATAATTGGAAACAGAGATTGCTACAGGCCTATTTTTTTCTTGTGTAGTACATTTTTATTGAATTAGTTGTGGCATGGCAATAATTTCACTGTTATTATGGATTCTAGCTAACTGTGTTACTGATTATACTAATATTTATTGGTGGGTGTGTTGTGTGCATGTTTATTATGTTTTTTATAAGATAGGTACTTTTTTATAAGATAGATACTTTATTTTTATTTTTATGGTGCCTTTTTAACATCTGAGCAGGGACAACGATGAAGAAATTGAATTAAAAAAAACAAGCCATTGTATACCGTTTTTTTCGGTGTTACAATGACACTGTTTGTGCGCGTAATAAAGAAAAAGCAGTATAATCACACATACTGAATACTATGGTAGAATATTATTCAGTGTGGGTTATAGTGTGTGTTATTCAGTGTGGTGTAAGTTTATTTACAATAGCACATTTCATACACAAATAAAAACTTTGTTTAGAAGAGATCAATGTAATTATCTGACTGTGTTCAGGTGCAACATTGGTTGAGTTTAACATTTACAGAGGATCATCATATTACATAATGGTATTAATACAATAATTAAGCCATATTGCAGCATCAGCCACTAGATGGCCTTATATTCACAAGATCTATTTTCACTGCCAGAGGCTGCTGAGCATCTTGAAATCTCTGTAAATAATATAATGGCCCTATTTTCTAGTTGTTGACAAGCTAAGATGAATTTCCACTGCAGCTAAATGTCAGTCTACTCACAGCTGAACATAAATAGTTAGGATTTGCAGCCTCTATACAAACAATCCACAGGACTGGCCTATTCCATATCTTAATGTTAATGTAGGAAAATCTAAAGAAAATAGGCAGTGGATTGAGGAGCGAGCAGAGCTTAGGCAGCTGTAATTAAATTATGCTTTAAGCAAATACATGTGTAAGACAGCTTCCAGAGACCTGGAACAATGGTTTATGCGCAGGCCTTATCTCATTATGTCATTAAACCAACGTCAAATCAGGCTCTGCCCTCCTCTGCTGAGTAGACTCATCCCAGACTCTGACCACAGCCCTGTGTCAGCTGACACTGAGACACACACACACAACACACACACCACACACACACACACACACACACACACACGTACATAGTGCAAAAACAGCAGCAGCTGAGGACCACACCCCCATCTGCTCCTGTTCACCACATTGCAAACATATTTCAAAGACCCCCCAACTGCTGATTTTGCAGTCTGGGCTCCAGCCAGATTATTTTACAGCTTCTGCTATAAAAGACTAATACTTCAATATATTGGAATTTGTGCTGTGCTGCATAGAGTTAAATGACAAGGCCAAAACCGTTGTGATGTCTGTACAATTTAATATGAACCTACAGTCTGAAGATAGTTAGCCTAGCTTAGCATAAAGACTGCAAACACAGGGAAACTGCTAGCCTAGGCAAAGGCAACAGAATGTGTGAGGAAACCAGCAGAGACTGCAAGAAGTGACAGCACCTGACCCAAAACTAGTCTGATAACCCATGTGAGACAGCAATTTGTTGTTAATTTTTTGTTTGGAGTAAACAAACAAGATATAACGTGTTAATTGGAGAGCTTTACAGTTCCTGGTAGGTGGATTTTGTTAGCCTCTGGCAGAGCTTCTTTCCAGTCTAAGTGCTAAGCTAAGCTAACTCATTGTATATTGTATATTGTATATTGTATATTTTATTGTCTATCTTTTTTTTTATCTTTTAGCATTAGACAAGACAAGACATTTATGTCTGTTGTGAAATTGTATGTTTACTTTTTAGTATTAGGAATATGTCT